ATGGCGAATGGGTAGTTGGATATATGAGACTAGAGTTCAAGGTGAGGTGTGGGCTACAGATAAAACTTGGAGTTTTTCTTCAACACATCAATAGCACTAAAATTATTAGACAGAATGAGATCACCCAGGATGAGTGTGGAAAGAGAACATGTCTGAGCCCTGAGGCACTTCAAAGTTCTTAGCATCATCAGTGACTTAAATTATACAGCCTTTGACAAGTCCCTTGGTCTCTGTGTTTCCCAATTTCTAATGTAGTGCTATACAAGAAAAATTGAATGTGAATCAGAAATGAGAGCCACATCTGTAATTTAAAATATTTTGGTAGCCACATTGAGCAAAGTTGTAACGAAGTGAAATTAATCATGTTAATAATATTTATATAACGCAATGTGATAGGCAGAATAGTGGCCCTGGATATGTCCAAGATCCCTGATATAAGAATATGCTTCTTCCACGGCAAAGGGACTTTGCAGAATGTGATTAAGATTAAGGACCTTGAGAGGAGGAGAGTGCGCTAAATCATTCAGGCAGGCCCAGTGTGATCACAGGAGCCCTTGAGATTGGAGAACCTTTCTCTGGCTGTGGTCAGAGAGACCTGAGGAAGGCGGAAAGGTGGAAGACACATATTGCTGACTTTGAGGTGGGAACAAGGGGGAGGCACTAGCCAGAGAATGTGGGCAGCCTCTAGAAGCCAGAAAAGGCAAGGATATGGACTCTCATCTAGAACCTCCAGAGGAAACAGCCCTGCTGAGCACTGGTTTTAGCACAATGAGACCCATTCAGATTTTTGAACCACAGAAAGGTAAGATAATAAATTTGCGTTGTTTCAAGCCTGTAAGTTTATAATAATTTGTATGGCATCTTTAGGAAAGGCGTGTGCTTGATATACCCCCAAAATCATTTCCATGTGAAATCAATGTTACATTATTAATGAGATCTTTTACATTTTTTTTATTATATGTAGACTTTGAAACCTGGTATGTATTTTGTACACACAGCACATCTCAATGTGTAGTAGCCCCATTTCAAAGGTTCAGTAGCCCCATGTGGCTGGTGGCTATCAGTCTGGACGTTGTACTTCTAACCAGTGCAGTGAGAACAGGGCAAAGCTGCTGAGTAGAAGGAAGATTGTGTGTGATGATTAATTTTATGTGTCAGGCTGGGTCACAATGCTCATATATTTGGTCAGACATTATTCTAGATATTTCTGTGAAAGTGCCTTTTGGGTGACATTAACATTTACATCAGTAGACTTTGAATAAAGCTGCTTCCCTTCCCTACTGTGGGTGGGCCTCATCCAATCAGTTGAAGGTCTTAATAAAACAAAGACAGATCTTCCCTGAGCTAGAAGGACTTCTGCCAGCAGATGGCCTTTGGACTTGAACTGCAGCTCTTGCCTGAGTCTCCACACCTGTGTGAACAAATTCCTTAAAATAAATCTGTCTCTTTCTGTATATACACACATCCTGTCTAATACTGCATGCGTCGGAGACTAAGGAAAGACCCATGCGCGTCTAAGCCTCCTCCCCTCCCTGTGTTCCGGGTTTAGAGTGGTACAGAATAGTGTTCAGTCTGAGGAGAGAGAGATGTGAGCTGGGAGTGGGAAAATGGGGCAGGAGGAGAGGTCCCGTGCTGTCCATGAAGGTGAGGGGAGGAGAACGTGAGAGAAGAACTGTGTCAGGACAGGCTGTGGAAAGAGAGCATATTTTGTTTTAAGGCCATTTGTAAGAGGGCCAGGGAGGTCTGCTCTGCAATCCTGGGAATGCTGGTGTTACTTGGGCTGAAGCATTCTGACTTCTGTCAGGGAGCTAAAGGATGGGCTCTGTGGTGGTCTGCCGGGGCCCACCATAACAAAACACCGCAGACTGGGCGGCTTAGACAATGGAAATTTATTTTCACATAGTTCTGGGGTCTGAAAGTCCAGTATCAGGTGCTGCCGGGCTAGTTTCCTCTGTCCTTGGCTTGCACATGGCTGCCCTCTTGCAGCCTCTTCACACGGTCTGCCCTCTGCATGCTGTACCTCCCAGCCCCATCTGTTTATGTGTCCTAAGCTCCTTTTCTTATAAGGTCTCCAGTCAGAGTAGGTTAGGGCCCACCCTCATGTCTCACTGTGGATAAAATGAAAGTTCCTGTGGCCAGGATTCTCACCTGGCCCTGGTTGGCTAGCTCACTGCACACGTGTGGGCAAGACCTTGTTGCTATTGATTCTATATAAAGAGCTCCGCCCAGGGCTCTGGGAGGAGGCAGAGACAGAGGAGGATTCCAGACCTGCAGACTGCTGGATGCAGATGTAATTCTAGTGCTCCACCTATCACTGGGAGAACAAGCCGGGTAATAAACCCTTTCACCCCCGGAACGTTCCATTGTCATTCCTCGGTCTCACTGAATCCTTAGTGAACTTGCCTGGGGCTGAAATCCATTGACAACACCCAAGCAAAGAATTAACACTTAATTCAGAGTAAGTATTGAACAAAGGTGTAGAGATGGCATTTGTCTTCCTCAAGGACTCTCAGTAAAGTAGGAGGAGCTTTTCAGGGTGAAAAGGCAGGTACCAGCGAGTCTGAAGTTGGAATCTGGGAGACGCGGAGACCAAAGAGCCCCAGTGGCTCCTGCCCGGCGGCCAGACACAAGCCGTGGTCGTGCTGGCTGCAGGCAGAGCAGGAGTCCATGAGTCCCAGCCTGTAAATCACTGTCCCAAGCCTGCCTAAGCTGAGTCAGCTGGGCCTGAGTCCTGGCTGTGAGAAGCCCCGCAGCCCATATTTTAGGGAAATGTGAGAAAATGAGGCACCTGTGACACACATTAGTCAGGGCCTATCTTCCAATTCCTTTTATATATAAGATAGAGTACATCTATCTTACAGTTGCTAGAGAAAGCCTTGCTCTAATATTCTGAAATGTGTTCAGTTCCTCTGAATTTAAAGATTCCTCAGTATGCTGAAGGAAAGTGGTCTTCCAGGCATTGCTTCTGTAAACGGTCCGTGGTTTGCCTATGGGCCCGGGGCCTTTGGGGCAGAAGGAACCCTGGGTGGGCGGGAAGGCCAGCAGTGGTGCGCTGAGCCTGAGGACTTGGGCTGTGCTTCACAGAGAGAGGGGGCGCTGCATTTAGGAATGGACGCGTGTCTCTCCCTTTCCCCCAGCTGCCTGTCTCCGCACCCTTCCTTCTCTCGCCAACCCGTAGGATTTGCTCCGGAAATTTCAGCTGAAGGGGACGACGGGTGGGTGAAGGCATGGAGATGTGAGAGTCCCTGGACTGGTCAGGGTTGTGTAGCCACGATACGGGGCAGCCCGAATCACAAGAGAGAAGGGGAGGTGGTGACTCTCGGGATGGCCTTGAATGTGAGGCTGGAAAACTTAAACATTAATTTGTAAGGAAGACGAAACAGGAGGTCTCTCAGAAGCAGAGGGACAAGACTTGAATCTAGCCCGCAAATTACAGCTGCCTGTATTTGCGTGGCGTGTGGGCTGCACATGGTTCATACACTTTCGGAAGTCGGGGAAGAAAGGAAGGACGGTCAGACAGAGAAGAGAAAATGCGAGCGAGAGCATAATGCGGACAGAGCCCCCAATACGGCCTCTGCTGCCCCTGGGCTAGATTTACAAAGGCAATACCTACCATTTATTGAAAGCTTATTTTATGCCAGGCTTTAATATCCATTATCTTTAATTTGCCAAACTGAGGGACTTGTCCAGGGTTATGCAGCTACGCAAATGAACCAGGATTGGAACCCAGGCTGCCAGCGCACAAGCTGGTGCTCTTGTCACCCTGCAGTGAGAGCTGGGCAGGCGAGCATAGGTGTGGGAGGTGGTTATGTGCGGCTTCTTGACCCCGGGCGTGACGAATGGTGAGAGTCTGAATGTGGGATGTGGTGGCAGCAGAAGAGAGCAGGGGCACCTGAGAAGCAGCTCTGTGCCCAGGCCGCAGGATTGCTGTGAAGTTGAGGAGAGGGAAGGTCCCCTCTGAACCCTCCTCCTCCTGGGCATTCCTTTCCTTGACATTCTCTCCTGCCAGTCTCTCTTCTCAGACTCTCCGTCAATGCTTTTCTCACGTCATTGAATTTAGTAACCAAGCTGCCTGGAGTAGTGCAGAGGACAGCGGCCAAAATGGAGAGACTGTCATGGCCTCGACAGTTGTCAGACATTTTGCACACACTTGGGGAGGCTGCAGGAAAAGAGGGACACATAACACAGTGGCAGTGGCAGTGTATTTTCGTGGAAACTTCCAAGAATCCAAATTGGAAAATTCTGGAAACTTATCCTATGAAAATAAGTAGATATTAGCTATTTAATAGATAATAGTGGAAAATATGGAAAATAAAATCTCCGCTAAAATATCCATTACAATATTTTATATGTAAGAAATAAATTCAATAACAACTTAAATATCTGATATTAGGGAAATGGTTGAATAAGTTTTTATCTACTTGAAGAAAAGTCAGGATGCCATTAAAAAGGAAAGTTACCAACAGAGCAGCTGGCTCTTGGACTCCTAAAGACTGTGTGGCACAGAAAAAAAGGCTTTTTATCACACTAAGTGGAAAAAGAATTGACACTGAATTCTATGCACACTGTAGTCGGTGTATAACGACCAAGACTGTTGGCCCATATCTAAAAACAAGATGGGTCTGTAGGATGATTTTTTCCCCCTCTGTTTCCCTTTCCTCTTGTTATGTTTCTACAATAATACATTATTTTGTGAATTCAGTAATCTAAAATTGTATTAATGTTTCAATGCTTTCCAAAAAAAGGCTATTTAAAATATAGAGCAGATGACTGTTTTTCTTAAAATAAATAGGAAGGTGAATGGATGGTTTCAAATAATTGAAAGGTGATGTATATTTAAAAATTTTTTTCCAGTGGTGTTCCAAAAGGGAGGAATGCCCAGGCTACTGCCATGGCCTGAATTTGTGCCTTCAGCGTCCCCTCTCTCAGGGGCCCAAAGAGTAGACACCTGTTATTTTTGTCTGCCCAGTATCCACTTCTCTCCCTTGGTAACGGCATTTTGATTTTTCTTTGAGGAGCTCTCCTTGACCTCATCTCTGTGGCTCCAGGGCTGGGAACATGACCCGGGCTTGGCTGAAGGGAAACTGCATCATCTGGCCACAGAGATGGTTTTAAGGAGGGCAGGTGACCCAGGCGTGTATATCAGATCTGGGAATTTTGGTGACATAACGGTGAATGTAGCACTCTCTGCAAGAATGCTAAGCGGGAAGAATGTAAGTTTGGAGGTGGTGGGGGCATCAGCACTGCCACACTGAGATGCTGGAGCTTGACAGTGAGTCAGTACTGAGTAGTTGGGGAGGGGGTGGAGACAGAAAGAATGAATGGGAACGGTGACATGATGTGAGGTCCCTGATCCAGCTGTTCCTGAATGCAGTCATACCTTGAACTTCCTGATTAAGTGGGCCAATATTTTCTCACTGCCTCTACCTTTCTCTCTCCTCCTCACCCCATTTCCTTTCTTTTCCTCTCTTTTTCCTTAATCCAGACTGAGTTGGGTTCCTTCTACAAGCAACTCAAACAATCCTGCTGTGGGGAAAATGGAAGTTCCTGTGGCCAGGATCCCCACCTGACCCTAAACTACTTGATGATGTAACTGGCCTGCTGCTAGGCTGCTGCTCACACACCTGTGGGCAGTAACTAGTGCTTGACTGGTGTCAACATTTTGCTGCACTCCTGTAGAGAAGCCCCCCAGCCCCGCCCCTTCCCCTACTTTTCTACAAGGACAGCTGCCTGTTGCTTCACCCCAGATATGTCTGGCCTTGAGAAACCTGAAAGCACAGAGTGTTGTACCCATGGAAAAGGAGCTAGATAAGGGCCTTAAAGGCCAGACACCTGGCCATGAAGACCACACACATGTGCATCTTAAATACTTCTGTAACAGTGAATTAGCAGTATAGCAGTATAAGAAGTGCAGCTTTGTGCAGAATGAAGTGGCCTCTCTGAGCACCCTCCATGACAACTCCCACCACCTTCTTAGCTCTACACATTGCCCCCAAAACCTTAAAGGCAACCCCCAGACCCTGACAACTCCCAATGCAGGGGCAGTGTGGAGGTGACAGGAGTAGACAGCTGACAAGGAAGTGAGTCCTAATTCGTTTGGTTTAAAATGCTGTGTGCACCCTGGCAGGGGCACATACATTTTGCACAAGTTTGGAGGTTTGCTGGCAGGATGATTACTATCAAAGAAGTGTGAAATTTGGGAATGTGTGTTGGTGGGGAAGTTGAAGAAATCAAAATGACTGAAATGCAGATTTTAAAATACAGGTAACTTACAGCCAGCCTCAAAACTTAGATCACACAGTCAGCAGTTTTACATGGTGTTTTTATTATTGCTCCCTCTTGATGGTTCCTATTGCATAATTTTTACTATGTATGGTTTGGGAACTTGCTTTGTACATTTAGTATCAGGCTATTTCTCATTTTTATTTTCTAGCTTTTTACCTTCTTATTCCAAAGTCACTTTGGAAAATGTGATTTGTGTGCAGTTTAAATCAGTTGCTAAACACCAAAGAGTCCTGTGCATATGTAATAAAGATGTGTTGCAGGGAGAGGGTAATGGCAGTCATGGTTGAAATTTTCAAATCTGTAATAGCGAACTTTCTGCATAAATAGAATGTGAGTTCTATGCATCTGTTTCATCAGGGTGGGTGACTTCTGTGGCTCAAGGAGGAACAACTGAATCCTCTGAGGACAAAACAAGGGTATTTAGACAGTCTGCTATAAGGTTTTCTAATGTTAGGGACTGAGTGTGTCTCCCTGCCCCAATCCCCACATTATTATGTTGAAATCCTCACCCCCAGTGTGATGGTATTAGGAGGCAGGGCCTTTGGGAGACCAGGTCCTCACGAATGATGAATGGGATTCAGGCCCTGACAGAAGAGACCCCAGAGAGCTCCCTGCCTGCTCCATCACGTGAAGACACAGCGAGAGGATGGCCTCCACCGCCACTAAAGCTGCTGGTGGCTTGGTCTGGGAATTCCCAGTGACCAGAATGGTGAGAAATATATTTTGTTTAAACACCCCTTCTATGGTATTTATTTGTTATAGCAGCCTGAGTGGACTGAGGTACCTCGTGTCCCAGTCGCTTGGCTGCTTGTTCTCCACCCCCACTCCCACCTTTCTGTGCACGGCCAGGAACTCCAAGCACACGTCGACCATCCAGCAGACTCTGAGGCCCCCTTACCAGCTGGCCCTGGCTAGGTTCTGCCAACGGCAATCACTGGTAAGGTAGGAGGAGAAGCAAAGAGGACCTCCCCGCTCCCGGCTTCTCTGGGTTTTTCTCTGGCTCATCAGCAGTTCCAGAACCTCCGGTGTGGAGCCGCTGGCGGTCCCGACGCCTGTACCTGACCCCCTCTGGCTGTCCCAGAAAGGAGGAATCCCGAGGTATCCCCCCCCTGTAGGTCCCAGCCCCTTCCTGACAGTTCTGGGCCACATTAGAACTATGTTCTCCATTTTGTTTCCCCATTTTTAGGGTTGGTGGAATGGGCTGGACTGCAGCCCCCCCATATTCATACGCTGATGTGCTAACTACCAGTACCTCAGAACGTGGCTGTGTTTGGAGGAGGCTCCTTAGAGAGCCAATGGAGTTAAAATGAGGTCTTTAGGGTGGCCTTATACTCACACCCCGATGAGAAGAGGAGCTTGAGGCAGTCTCGCACTGAGGGAAGACCATGTGGAGACACAGCCAGAGAGAGACAGCCGTGCCCACACCTGGACTTGGACTCGAGACCTGGGGGAAAGGAAATGTTTGTTGTTCAAGCCACCTATCTGTGTATTTCTGGGGGCAGGCCTAGATACTCTTACAGGTGGTGTCCATTAATCTCCAGGTTAACCCACTATCTGTTTTCTGAATCTTTTCTTTCTGGCCAATTTCTCATATTAAGTTCCCTCTTTGAAATGCCTGAAGTGGTTTTGTTTTCCTGACTAAAACAACTTATAAATATCTTACATGTATGTGCTTTATACCTGAAAGCCATTTGGGAAAACAGACATTGACAAAAGGATAGAATGATCTTTTTTTTTTTTTTTTTTGGTAATTCATTAAGAAAAATTCTTTAAATAGTTTTGTACCTAATTTCAACAGCTATTCAAGAACAAAATGCATACTATTAAAAACAAAATCATTGTATTTATAATGCAGATTTTTTTCTTTGCCCCTAACCCTAATGAGCCTTACATCTCCTTTTCTCAACTTACATTAGGCAATGTCAGTTGCTCTCTCAGAGCACAGGGTAATTAAGTGGTCCTTCCCCCAGCTGTCCAAGCAGTTTTGGCTTAGTCCTATCCTTATTTGGCGGTGCCTAACAAGGGCTGGCTGAGGGGAGTATGATGTTACCAGCCACCAAGGACCTTATCGTGAATATAAATATAATAAGTTTTGTCATAGTCCTGCCCACTCACTGACGTGGGTAACACCTACTGGTTTTTTTAGGACTGTCCTCTAAAACTTCTTATCTGCTCCGCCCAGAGAACATGTTGATGGGCTGGGGTCCCCAGGATACAGATCCCGAGCTGCAAGGGGGTTTCAGGGGAGTGCTCCTGGGAGCACCACCTGTAAAGGAGTGAGGAAGATGGGTTGGGCAGGGGGAGAAGTGGAGCTGCAGGGCAGTTGCAAAGCTTTCTCAACTAACGCTTGGGGCTGTGAAACTGAGGTCCCACCTCAGAGAGAGCCTGCGTGGGCCACGGAATGCAGGCTGTCCCCAGGCAGAGTGCGAGGCCTTAGCTGAGGCAGCTTCCTCAGGCGAAGGCAGATGACGTGGCTGTGCGTGGTCAGCAGGCAAGGCTTCCGGGAGGCTGAGGGTCTCAGTGCCGAGGGGGGTCTGGCGGCACACCATGGTGTCCACTGTGATGGTTCTAGGGTAGGTTCGCAGAGATGCAAGGTGTCCATTGCACTAGGATTGTGCATTTACATGTCTGTCTGAGACTGTGGTTCCCTGGGGCCAGGTGTACCTTATTACTTCACTCATTGTGTTTCCAGTATCCAGTAGTAAAACATGGGGTACAGTAGGCACCTGATCAATGTTGAATTTAGTGGAAGAAGGATATTTACTTGTTTCACCTAGTAATTGCAGTAGGCAGGGAATTTAATGGATCATGCTGTCCCCTGAAAATGGGCTTAAAAATCTTATTTTCAGTCCCATTCTGGAGAGGCCAGTGTGACTTGATTTTAGAGTGCAATCTCTGGAGGACACATGGGCAAAGAAGAAAGCCTGAAATCATGCCAGATGAATTGTTCGTGAACAGGAAGAGAGAAACTCATGTTGGGAATGACACAGTCTGGGAGCACGGGGCAGTGACGGCCACATGCCCTCTGAGCGTTGCTTCCCCTTCAGCCATTGTGTGTCCATAGATGTGACTCAGTGGCTGGCACTCAGTGCAAGCTTCAGTTTAGCTACCCCGCTTCCCGCAGCTCCCAGAAGTCAATAGGCCGCAGACACCATGGGAATCAGGTAAGAAAAAGAGTTGAAAGGCGGCAACATCAACAGGAAATAAAACATTTTATTGAATATCTGGGTAATATGTTAAGTCATTTTTAACAACAATCAGAAAACTACTATGGAATTCACTACACAAAGTGAAACAAAATTTAAACCACCTCATCAAAAATGAAGGCAAAGTACAGCTAAAGGAATTGGCTCGCGGGCCACGAACCATATGGCAGAAGAAAACACCCCAACATTTCTACAAGGTACAGAGAAAACCCACACATAGAAACACTCAGGCAGGCAGTAAATATACACAAAGGCAACTAGGATCTTTCTAGAGCATCAGGTTCTAATAGTTTACACAGCTTTGTCAGAAAGGTACACGTCGCTTATCATGGTCTTAAAGCAGGTTCAGTCACTGACTTGTGAAAGATGGCATAGTACCAACTAATTCTGTGGTGACAATCCCATGCCTGGCAGTGTTGCAAGAAGATGAGCATTAGTAGTAATTTAATGCAAAAATAATGTGCATCCGGCAGCTTGAACCTGCTTGTTTTAAAGTGTTTCAGTGTGAACAACTTAAAGCTGAATACAGTGAAATTAAATGCCAGTTTCTGGTATTTAAGGAATTTAAAAAAGTCAATCACCTCCCTCCCTTGGGTAGGGTTTGGTCCTTTAATTTGGAAATATTCTCATTTGACTCTTTGTTTAAACTGATGCTTAATCTCACATCATGACTTGTGGAATTTCTATTATCTATGTTTTTAAAAAAGCGTGAACTGTCCTAAGAAGAGAAGATGCTGCTCTCTTTTTGACCTTCATGTCTGTCCCAGTTGTAAAGAGTTCACTGTGACAGGGTTAAAGGCCAAAGGGCTTGCCTCTTCTTTGCTGAGGAAAGAATAATGACAGGAATGCTTGTTTTATCAGGAAACACCCAACCCCATGTTCCAAGCCTCCATCAGCCCTTTTTGAGTTCTCTGAGGTTTAAAAAAAAACGTGGCGTGCCATCCTAAAGTCTGAACATGAGGCCAATGCTTCGTTTTCCTCCGTTGTGTTGTGGTGGTTGTGAAGATAGACTTTCACTTCCAAATAGCACTACTATCTGTGGCCTCAGCATTGAAATGGGTCACAGAAATGAGTGACAGAAGAGACCTGCTACAGTGTGCGAATAGGCTGCCTGTCTACAAGTGGTTGTCTACCGTAGTGGGGAAAGATACGGAATATTGCACAGTGCTTAACAAAATGCTGTGTGTTCCACCCCATTCTGTGTATCTTTCTTGTCCTATGCATAGCTTTCCAGTTCTGGGTTGGTCCTTTGTAATGAGAACTGTTTGTGCTACACACATTTTGGGCAGTGCAGTAGAAGGGAATGGCAGTATTGTTACAATATCACTACGGAATAAATCGAGTGCTATCCACTGAGGAAACTAGGTGTCTAAGCACACACGGCGTCACAGTGTCACACAGAGCAGTCCTTTAAGACTCTTATGGAATGACTAGTAGCTTCATAATAGTGCCATTTGCTACATAATAACATTGAAAACATTGAAAAATTTCTCCTAAATCAAGCATCTAGTATACGTAAGAGGTTGCTTCAGTTTTCTAGAACTTGTTCTTGGTTTTGTTTCACCGTTTTTTTTAAAGGACAAATTAAAACTTATTTAAGTAAAAAGAGCATATAAAAAGATCACTAGCTGTCTGTTTTGGCTTAATTGAAGTGCATTCAGAACTATGGCTAATTGTTTATTTTTTCATCTTTTGATGGGATTACAATACTGTCTGTCCACCACAAAGTAATTTTGTGTAATAAGCACAGATTACTGTGTTAAAAATATTCTGCATTCCTTCTAATCTGGTTTTGTATAATAAAATATTTTGTTACAAAGTCTACTGTGCAAACCTTTTGGAATTACCGTAATTCTGGAACAGAATTCATAGGATGCACATTTTGTATAAAGGTGATAACGGAGAGCTACTTTTTTATTTTTAAATAGTCAGGCAATATTTCAGAAAAGCTGACTTCTCCCCTCAGCTTCTTCCCACCCACCCCATCCCCAAACAAATGCAAATACACACACACACACACACACACACACACACACACACACACACACACACTGAACACCATCATATTGCTGTTCAGTATGCAGTAATAGGAAATCATTAACTCCTGTTCAGTGGCTCCCTTGAAATGTACAGCTATTCTGGCTTGTGACTATTCTTCCTGGAGGTCAGCCTGGATGCTGCTTAGATCATGCTAATTTGCCTGTAAAGAAATTCTATAAAATTGGATTCACCCACCAAATATGTGGTGGAAGCATATCTTGGTACTCAAATGATTCAATAGAAAGTTCAGGTTTAAGTTGTCCTTTAAGATGTCAGTTTCACTGTACTAGTGCCTTACAAGTTGATAGTTTTGCTGGAATGCAGACGATACTATATTTACCATATAATATATTATCAGCTCTCCTATATCTCAGTCAATTTACATAATTTAAAATAGAACATCTTATTAAAAACATCTAGATATACACAGATTTGGAAACACAACATAGAAATACACAGACTAGAAATAAATCTTTAGCATATTGGTATGTACAATGGTGTGATACAATAAATAATTTCAGTCATGCTCTATCTACACATCATATTGCTTAAAAGAAGAGTAGATCTGGAGGGCAGTGGCATGATGAAGGGCTTAGAGGCTCTCTACATTTAAATTTGTGCAAATTAAAACAGGATTTGAAGTACCACTGAATTGTGTTAGGAACGCATGGCTGGCAAAATGAAAGGACCCATATTACTGAGGTATTTACAGACACTGGCTAAAGAGCACTAGGTGGGCAAGTGCAGAAAGGCTTCTTTCCTTTACTTCTTGACCGCCAGCATGGCGTCCACTTCCTCCTCCACCTGCAGGGTGTGCCACTGGGCAATGGGTCGCCGGGGGTTGGCCAGCATGTCCGACCAGTGCCGCAGCTCCGCCCCGGTGCTGTTGTAGCCCACAAAGACTTTGCCGATGGCATCGTTCTTGCCAATCTTGTCATAGTCCAAAACAGTCACCACCACTTGCACTTTCTGAAAAAGGACACAAAGAAATGTTCATCACCCAGTTCTAGAGAGAAAGCCCTAATGCAAAGCTTCCTTGGCATCTAAGCGATTGGAGTAAGAAGAACTGGTGTCCCAACAACACCAGGACAAGGCTGAAAATGGCTTGAGTATGAAAACCTGAGTTGAATCCCTATTTTGCTATTATTAATCATCATATCATCACCATCATTATCTTGTCAGCATCTTCAAAATACTCAAGGAGTGTTCATTATTTTGTATGTGGCACAGTTCTAATCCTGTTACATGCACTACCCAGTGGCTATTATCATTAGTAGCATTCCTCACAATAGATCCTATTAATACTGCCAATACATATAAGATACTGAAGCTCAGAGAAGTCAAGGAGGCTGCGTGAGGTCACACGAGGAATGAGTGGTCTGTCTCTCAGAGTCCCTGCTGGAAGCCACCACGCCCTCTGCCCTGGCCGGCTGTGTTCCCCTCTAAATCCATTTATTTTTATTGTCTCGGCAGCAAAATTTCTGGCATTGGTACTCAGACCATTCTTTTTTGGTTATAATTCCCAGAGCAACCATGGAATACAATTGCATTTCAGGGATGGAGAGCCAGGGTTTTACATGAAACATTAATGTAGAATCTCAGCTAATGATTACATGATTATTGTATTAAATGTGATAATAAAGTGAAAGTCTTCAAAAATTAGTAGCTAAAGATAATTTTCCACATTTATACATTCTCTCAATAAACACTGAGTAACTACTGTGTATCTGGCCCTAGCATCAAATAGAAAAAAACTTTTAGGCCACACAAGATTTCCTGTTATTTTATTAGGCTGTGAGGGTTTATTTAATTACTTACTTGTTTTGAACTGATTGAGTTAAGGAGAGTAATCCCATACCATTATGACATAAAAGAAACATTTTTTAAAACATTTTAGTTCTGTTTCCCCTAAGTAATGAATTTGCTTAGTCAAAATATTCGATGACTTCAATCTAGAAACTGGGTGCAAAGAGTTTAGAATAAAATAGAATGCATAACCTTTGGTAGCCAGAGTTAAAAGGAGCAGAAAATGTAGCGATAGAAGCCAGGGCCAGACAAAGATCCTGCAGAGTTATGGCCCTTTAGTGGACTTTGTGCCCCGAGGACTGCATTATCGCACCAATGTGCTGAGAGCTGGCCCTTGTGTACAGCGTCAAATCAGAGAAAATGATCACTTCTGACAGTGGAGTTTAGACTGCACAACACAATGCATTGTCTTTTTTTGTGTCTCCTTGCACTGAATCCATGATCAAGGGAATTAGCTATCCACTGGATGGTATTTGGAACTGAGAACAAAATCATCTTGGTTCTAAGAATGTTCCCAAGCAAATTCACCAGGATGCAGCCATAGTGCAGGAAATGGGGGAAGGGGCCCCAGGGGTCTAATGCACAAAGGTGACAGAGGCTTTCGGAGGTTGGAGTGAATGGTTGGAGTTGCGCTTTGATGATCTCACCCAGGAATGTATTGATTGGTATCACTCAAGACTAAATATCCTTTTGAAGGCCTTGGATTAATTTTTCTAGCTGCATATGTAGTTTATTTACACATCTTTTGGTGGGAGGAATGCAACATTTTCCTATGATTTTAGAGATCAGCATATTTGCTTCTCTCATATTTCATTAGGGATAGAGACAGAAAGACAGACAGGTAATCCTATAACCTCAGGATAAAGGAAACCTAAATTCCTATTTTAGCAATGTAAAAGGCTCAGTTATTTTTCTAAGGAAATGCAGAGACTAGGAAAGCCACCTCCTGGGGGGTAGAAAAGAGAGAAGAAAGAAACAGATTGACTTCAGGAGCAGAGGAGGAGGCGTGCAGTCAGAGGCACGCTCAGTATTTCCATGCTCAATGGACTCTGTAACAGGCTCCTTTTCGTTCTTCCCTGACAAAATGTGATTTCCTCTAAAACGCTGCCCCAGAAACCCACCGTATGTCTTGTGTCTAATGTGCTTCATTCTCAATATATTTGCATTTGCTGCAATGTGAGCCCGCGGGTTCAGGCTGGAGGCGAGGGGGTCACTGTCCTCCATGTCACTTACCTGTACGACTGCTGATCGAAAGTAAATAAGTATGTGTCATTTTCTGCCACATGAAAATATATATGAGAAAGGATATATAGACACCATGAAGTGATGTGAGGATGATGGCATTATTGGTGATTTTTTTAAAAACTGTGTTATATGATACAGTAGCTAGTAGCCACATCTGCCTGTTTAAATTTAAATAAATTAAAAGTAAATAAAGTTCTTTGATCACACTAGAGGCTGAGGTGTTCCTTGCCTCCAGCAGCTAGCTAGTGGCTACTGGATTGGACATTTCCACCCTCACAGGGTCCTACTGGACCGTGCTGATTTGTATATTGTTTTAATCTTACTGTTAGATCTATTTTCTAATAAAATGCTGATTTGAAAAAGAGAACATTAGCATTGTGAATACAAATAATGATGTGAACCGTTTACTGGCTGTTCCTACATGCTCAGCAGGGTACCAAGTGCTTCTATATACAGACATGGATTCTGTTATTACTCCTGTTTTATATGTGAGGAAATTCTAAGCCTCTGTTTCCTTTTGTATAAAACTGGGACAAGGTTAGTGTAAGGATTAAATGAGATTATCCATGTAAAGTCCTTAATTTGGGCCAAGGCACAAAATAAATATACAATAAATGTAACTATTATGTTAGTTTTCTTCATGAAATAAAGCAGTGATTGATAAGACATCATATTTTAAGAATAGATTAAAAGTAAAAATATGCAAGTGAAGAATATTGCTGACTTGTTATTCTAGACCTTTAGAAGGTTTTGATGTCTACCTTTCATTTCTCCTTCAATTTATTGGCAAATTTTTATATTCCTTAAAAGATAGATCCACATCAATTATTTAATAAAATGTAAAAATAGTATTGCTTTAAGCAGGTTGACTCTTTGATACCCATTAAAGGTTAGCAAGAAATAGTCCATAATTATTGAATTTGAACTCTGGATTCCAATAGTCTAACTATGGATATGAGGTGAGAAACCCTAATTATGTTGAAAAATTTCTAAATAATAAGATATTCTATCATTGTAGCTACATGAAACATCCTATTCTGAACATGCTAACCAGGAGGTCTTTTAATAGAAAACTTATCATGACACTTATTATCTAGCAAATTAAGGTTCCATCTTTAGAAAACTACCCATCCATTCCAACTCAGAAACAAGAAGCTGAATTTAAACAATTAAAAATATAACTTAGCCTAATATTTCTATTGTTGATCATATTTTAATAATGGAAGATTAAAGATGTTGCATATTAAGCATCAACCTAAATATTTCTTTTATCTCTCTCTTTTTTTTTGCTATAACGATGTAGTAAGGAGAATTACATGTTATGGTCTGGGAGTAAATAGTGGAAGTTCATTTTCTCCGAGCCCTTTAACCTTTGTGGATGTCCTTTTTGAGTTAGAAGAGTTGTTCTCTTGATTTTGTTTTCCTACTTTATTTCTGCTCAACCAAACGCTGGCTGTTTTGGCTGATGAATCTGCACATCTTGTGCTGTGTATTTTATCATTTTCCTCTTGATGTAGCCTGAACATCAGATGTGCACGGGAAAGAATGGCAGCTGTAATGAAGCCATGTGCACTGATCATTACAAGGTCTGTGTGTTTAATTTACATGGTCTGAAGAAATAACATGGAACAGGAAAACAAAATTGTGTTTGACATTACCTGGATTTGCTCGAAGGGTACTTCAAAGCTGAATGACTCGTTGTAGTAGGGGTTCAGTGTGTTCTTTTTAATTGTTGTCTTTTTCTTCTTTAGCCTCTTGCCGTTCTGCATCAGATGGATCTTCACATAAGGATCTGAAAAACAGAAAGAAAAACTTTAGGAGACCAGAGACACATAGTTTAGATCATAATTTAGCCTATAAAAAGACCAAGTATTCCCAACAGGAAAATAATTGTATAGTATATGTTTAGTATTTTTAAAAATTTGAAGCATTTTTTTAATTGAAAGATTTTAAGTAACCCATGGGCTAGAGGTATTTTTTTTTTTTTTTTTTTTTTTGCTGTCATATCTCACGTTGATAGCTGGAGTTAGTTGGCGAGAGCCATGGTGTGCGAGTGAACCAGCTCTCGGGGGAGTGCCTTGCTGTGTCGCCTTTGCCAATGCCCCTGGTGTAAGTCCTCTCAGTGCGGCCGTCTTTAAGCTACTAACAGTCTAACAATTGGCTCACTAGATTCCCGGAATTCTAACAATTGACTATGATGAGCCAGCAAAGAGCTGGTGCAGCACACCAGTGGGTGGGCACAGAGCTCCTGGCAGAGAGGACAGAGGAGACGTTTCATTCATTCATTCATTTATTTACTCAACTTATATTCATCAGACACTGGGGATACAGCAGTGAGCAAAACAGACCATCCTTGTGTTCCTGATGGAACTTCAGACTTGTAGGGAGAACAGACAAGCTCATAAAGAACCGAAATACATATGAAATTACACACTGCAAGAGTGCTCTGGAAAAAAAGAGCAGGAGACAGATAGGATAGAGTCCCAGGACCAGGGAGTCCGAGGCATGCACAGCATTCTGAACACTCAGATTGCTCAGTGGGGGCAACGTTTCAGTGGCGATGTGAAGGCTGAACAAGACGCCACCTGTGTGTGTGTGTGTGTGTGTGTGTGTGTGAGAGAGAGAGAGAGAGGGACAGACAGAGACCCAGGACTTTTGGCTAACCATCCACAGGTAGAGACAAGTTTCAAGGTTCAGGGGAAGAGAATAAGCTGCACCCATACAGAGGTGATGAGAAAAGGAGCAGAAGGATGCCCTTAGCAGTCTCCCCAGAGCCTCCTGAGGTGGAGGTGAAGTGAGAGTCAGTCACTGGCTCGTAAGGTGCTTCCTGCGTATAGTTTTCATTATTAATGGATGACAGAGCTTCAGATCGAAAGATTCAATGTCCAGGTTTGTCACTAACATCCCTTTACTGTTTTCTTAAACATTTTTCCATTTCCTATGAAATATATGCGTATTATAAAAAATTCAGAAAGAAATGATAAGCAAAAAGAAGAAAAAATGTGAAATCACCCATGATTTTACTCCTTTAAAACAACCAATGCCGAACCTCCCAAAGCGTCCTCCCCTTCAGAACATGCAGAGCTGGGAGAAGCTTCACACATAATCTGAGTCTAACGCCCAAATGTTTTCAGAAGATAAAACTACAAAGCAGAAAGGTTGTTTCAGCAAAATAAAATTCCAGCTTATTGTTAGGCAACGTTGTTTTACACACATATCAAACAGGCCAAAACCCCCCAGCAACTTCGTAGACAAAAAGGAGGAAAGAAATAAAAAGAAACCTTTTATCTTTGGTCTTTTTAACCATCTCATACACATCAACTGCTGATGGTGCAGCTAAGTATATACACAAGAAAAGTTACTAGAATGCTGGAAATAAGATTTTTTTCTTGTTTTTGTTTTTTACAAGTTTTTTTTTCTCCTTGGAGATGATAAAGGACATGGTCACACCACAGGTACAACCAGAAATAGGGCAATTCTTAAGGCTTGTCTGGCCTTCTGAGACTGTTAAACATGGCTGACCCCTCTTAGGATGCCAAAAATATTAATGCAGATTACAAAATATAAACAAATTTTCACTTTAAAATATTTTTTAAGAAAAAAAGCAGAGCCTTGAAGTTTTGGCTCCTTTTTCTCCCCCTGTTGAAAATTCATGCTGTGTTTGTGGTTCTGTCATGTTCATGAGCGAAATGTGCCAGTCCTGACAGCTAGAGATGCACAAGTATCGTGTTATTTCATACACAGGAACAGAGGGCTGGAGGGTCAGTGGCTTGGGGCTGCTGGGAAGGGGCAGAGGTGGTCCTTGTCTTGGCCGATTCATCCTTACACGGTACCTGAGCAAGTTACTTTACAGGAAAACTTTCCACCTTAACCATGACCACAGCTGGAGGTAACGCAGAGGGCTTATTCTCCGCCCCCTCCCCCGCCCCACCCCAGCTTTTTGGCCATAGAGTTGATGTGGAACATTGCATAAGTTAGGGGGTACAGCGTGATAGCGAGATATGCATGTACATTCTGAAGTGATTGCCGCAGTGTTAGTTAACCCCTTCACCACCTCACATGATTACTGATTGTTAGAGGTGAGCACACCGAAGCTCTGCCCTCTAGCGACTTTCTAGAACACAGTACAGCCTTGTCGGCTGTCGTCACCAGGCCGTCCGTTAGAGCCCCAGAATTTAACTTATCTCACCGGTTTATACCCTTTGATCAACATCTCATTTCACGGCCACCACCTCTCCCAGCCCCTGGCAACTGCCGTTATACTCTCTGTTTGTATGAGTTTGGCTTATTTAAAAAAAACAAAAAAAAAACACGATCATTTACTTTTACTCACACGATGATTTTAGTTTTAATTTTTTGAGGAATCTCCATATTGAAATAGATGTCAGACTTGGGATACTTTGCTTCTTTTCTTTGTTAGGTTAACCTTAAAAGGTCGGGCCTTTTTGTTTTAATAACTGGTAGAAAGAAAGGTCTCCTTTCTGTTGTCTATCTAATCTCTAACAGTGTTCGACTTGCATGACTGTAACCTTTCAGTTCGGGAAAATGATGGACTGGGATCCGAAACACTGGTTAAAATAACCTTTTTAACATGCAGAGAAACACTCCCGAGACACAGAGTTATCTTAGAGGAAGACTTTGGAACCAAATATAAAATTTTTAGAAGTTTTTCTTCAGTTACAGGGACACGATGCGCAAGCTTCGCAGAAGCCTAAAGTACAGCCCATACGCTGAACTCTAAGGTTGTAACCACCTCGGCTCTTCATTCTTCAGAGAAAAACCTCCCGAGCTCATTGCCCCATGTTCATGCCTGTTCTTGGGCCATGATTACAGCTTCTTAGACCGAAAAGTCGGAAAACTGGGGGCCGCCTCTGGTTCCTTCTTCCTCACTGCCTGTGACCACATCCTGCCCGGTTACCTTCACACTGTCTGTCTGTCTGTCTGACCTGTTGCCATGATCTCAGTATCAGAAATCCAGTCTCTCTTGTGCCTGTGCCTTCAACTTCAAAGTGTTCTTCATATCATTGTTAAAACTAGATTTGAACACACCATCCCCCTCATTAAAAATGTTTGCCATCTAAAAAAAATCCACACTCTGCACGGCCTCCCCAGCCCCATCCTAACTTATTATTTCCGCAAACCCTGTGCCCTACTCACGGTCCATACTCACTATTCCTCATGGAGAATTTAAAATGCCGTGTCTTTCAACTGGCTGTCCTTCAGCCCGAAATGCCCTTTCTTTCTTTTCCCATCTCATGTGTGGTTTAAAAGTCGCCTCTTCCCTGAAGATTTCACTGACGATTTTTCTCAGTCAGAACCTTCAGACAAACCTTCCCATGCCCTGTGGCATTTTCTTTTGTAGTTTTGCACAGTATGTATCTCCTTCTTTTCTGGTATCGAGAGCTTTGGTGGTAATCTAATAAAAACAATATTCCTATGGGAAAGTGTGTTGTGAATTTAAAACTGTTTCAAAATGAACTTTGGGATGACTATCCCCCTGTAACGTGGGAGCATCCCCCATTACTGTTCCGTTCCTATTTCAATACCCTGACCTCTGTCACCCTCTTCTTCCCTTAGGCAGTTCTAATGTCAAATTATGCCAACTTCATAGAAATATAATTGCAAAACAGCTGGCTGTAAGCAATGATCCTTTTGTGTGAGATATAAAGGAGCAACTAAAGGCTTTCTGTGTTTGTGATGAGAACTGGAAAGCGGCAGTTCAAAACCAAATAAAGCAAGATGCCTGCAGTTTTCATTTTGACAATTTTGCATAATTATCCTGTCTTCTTTCTTAGCTACCACAGTGACCGTGCACCCTTGTAACCATGGACTTCCGTTTCAACCAAAGACTTATGTTGATAAGGAATAGCCTCGTCTCAGCTGTTTGGTTCAGTCCGTTCTGACTCAGTACTCAGATTCTGAGCAACTTTGGGCTAAGCTTACGCCTTTCATTCTTTATCCTTTGGTGATGTTCACTGCATTTCCACTTACAGTGTGGATGAGGAAGGTAATACTCATGACCAGTTAGGGTTCTGAATTTCAAGTGTCTAAAAACCCATTTCAAAATGGTGTGAATTACAAAGTAACACACTTACTTAGATGATGGAAAAGTCCAGAAGAAAGGCTGTGTGGCAAAGATTGTTAACTGTCCCCTAAAATCCATTTTCTCTTCTTTTTTTGGCAATAAAACTCTGGAAGTTCTACCTGGCTCTGGCTCATCCAGCTAGAACTACTTCTCCCAGACTCTCCCACAACTTCCTATGGCCAAGTGACTAACTATGGCCGTCGTAAGTGAGCATAAGTGATGACGTGTGTAAGTCCACAGATTCTCCTCAGACCAGTGGTTCTCAGTGGGGGGCTACTTTTCCCCAGACATTTGGCAGTATCTGGACACATTTTTGATTGTCATAACTCGGAAAGGGAATGATATGAGCCCCCCTGAGTAGAGGCCAGGGGTCCTGCTAAACACCTTACAGTGCATGGGGCAGCCCTCAACAGTACAGACATAGCAGCCTCAGTATCAGTCCAGCTGAAACCGACGAACCCTTCCTTGGAGTGAACGGAATCCCTCCACTCCTCCTTTTTTCCTTTTAACTGAAACATGGATGCGATGGGAGGGCAGCAAACCAGCTTCTATCCTGCAACATGAAGACAATATCCTAGGGGGACAGAATAATAAGATCGGAAGATCCTAGGTCCCTAAGTGACCTCACAGCCCCAAACTGCCTAGCAGTCTTGCCCACCCACCCACCTATGGACATGAGGAAAATAATTTCAAACAAATTCTATTTT